TTGAACCCAGGGGGTAGAGCTTGCAGTGAGCCAAGATCATGCCACTGCACTCCAGCCTGGACAACAGAATAAGACTCTCTCTAAAAAAAAAAAAAAAAGTTAAGTATTCATATTTCAAGGATACCCCAGACAATTACTATTCAGTGAAAAAAGGAAATTACTGTTTTAAAAATGTTTTTTTTTAAACATGAAATATAACAGCAACTATATTTCAAAAACTTACAAAATGAATTATAGTTTCTGGTACTTACTTTAAAAATATGCTACAATTTAATCAGTAAAATATTATTCATCACTGAAATTAGGGCTCTTCAACTATATATGCCAATATATAGAAACATTAAAAGCATAGTATTGATTGAAAACAGCAAACCTAAAACACAACATATAAGAATACTATTTTTAAAAAAAAGGTAAGAAACTTATTCAAAGAAATAGAGAAAACTTCCCAAACCTGGAGAAAGCAATCAAAGAAAAGCCTAAGACCTTTGGATTCACTGTCATATTCTACCAAACATTTAAAGAACTCATACCAATATTCACAAACTATTCCAAAAAATTGAAGTGGAGGGAATTCTTCCAAAATCATTTCCATACTATCCAAAGCAATCTATGAAATCAATGCAATCCCTATCAAAATACCAATGACACTTTCACAGACATAAGAAAAAACAATCCTAAAATATGTATGGAATCACAAAGACCCTAAATACTCAAAGCAACCCCAAGCAAAAAGAACACAGCTGGAGGCATCATACTCCCTGACTTTAAAATTTACTAAAAGCAATAATAACCAAAACAGCATGGTACTGGCACAAAAAAAGACACATAGCCCAGTGGAATAAAATTTAAAAACCCAGAAATAAATCCAAGCATTTACAGCCAACTGATTTTCTACATAGGGGCCAAGAAAACACACTGAGGAAAAGAACAGTCTCTTCAATAAATGGTGCTGGGAAAACGGTATATCTATATGTAGAACAAACCTAGACCCTTATCTCTCACTACAAAAATCAACTTGAGATAGATAAAAGACTTAACTGTAAGACCTGACATTGGTCTAGGCAAAGAATTTATGACTAAGACCTCAAAAGCATAGGCAACATGCTTTTGAATATACATCTTTTCTACCACAAAGACACACGCATGTGTATGTTCATTGCAGCACTATACACAATAGCAAAGACATGGAATCAACCTAGATGCCCAACAGTGGACTAGATAAAGAAAATACAAGACATATATACCATGGAATACTACATAGACATAAAAAAAGATGAAATCATGTCCTTTGCAGCAATATGGATAGAGCTGGAGGGCATTATCCTAAGCAAATTAATGCAGGAACAGAAAAACAAACACCGCATGTTCTCAATTATAAGTGGGAGCTAAGCACTGAGTATACATGGATACAAAGAAGGGAACAATAAATACCAAGGCCTACCTGAGGGTGGAGGGTGGGAGGAAGGTAAGAATCAAAAGATTAACCATTAGGTACTATGCTCATTAGTTGAACGACAAAATAATCTGTATACCAAATGCACGCAACATGCAATTTACCCAAGTAAGAGACCTGCACATGTACTCCCTGAACCTAAAATATAACTTGGAAAGGAAAAAAAAGAAATATTAATTCTCACATATAGTATGGATGGTAATAAATTGATTTAACCATTTCAGAGAACAATTCAGCAATATAAAACATAACTGAATGTTTACATACTCAGTTATTCTTTTCCTGATCATAATTTACAGAACTTGAACACGTAACGAGGAAACATAGAAAAGGATGTACATTCCAGCATTATGGGCAATGTCAGTATTTTAGAACAACTTGAATGTCAACCATATGGGAGATGATAGGATTCTGCCTCTAATAGTAGAAAACATTAGATATTCTGAAGACCTTTATATTGAAATAAAAGTCTTGGAAATTATTTTAAAAATATGTAAGGGGAAGGAATGAGTTAAAGGAGAAAGAATAGATAGATGGTCCAAATATTTTATTTTTTAATCCATTATGGCAAGTAATTAGTGCAATCTGATTTGGTGTCAATTGAACATCTTATGTTTATTGGTCTTTGGGGTATACTCTTTTTTACATGTTTGTTCAAGTCTCCTGTCCATTTTTCTATTGAGCTATTTTTTTCTTATTGATTTATAAAAGTTATATATTGTGGATATAAGCATGTTGCAAATTGTAAGTATCAAGAATATACACTTCCATCTGTGGCTTGTCTTTTTACCCTCATAAAGACATTACAATTCTTATTTTAACTGCAATATTTTAATACAGCCTCATACATTACTTGTTGGTATAAAAAAATGGCATTACTATTATGAAAAAACTATTTGTCAGTTATCTCTGAAGCTTAACATAGGCCTACAGTATGACCCAGTAATTTCACTCCTAGGCATATACCCAACAGAAATATATGTATATGGCCACCAAAGGACATGTATGAAAATGTTCATTATAGCATTATTCATTATAGCCAAAACTGGACATAATTAAATCTATATCAATAGTACACCGAGCAAAAAAATGTTTTATTCACAACATGGACCAGACCTGCAAACTCACCATCCCCCATACATCAGGAAAGACCAGTGCAGGCAGAATCCCAACCCTTCCTCACCTGATTGTGCAGGGAGAGGAAACAGATATATACACACACAAATGAACTATTGTTACAAAAACCTGAATAAATTTCACTTACATAATATTGAGCAAAATAATCTAGGCCCAAAAATACATATGGTTCCATTCAAATAAAAATTTAAAGAGTCAAAACCCTACTACGGTATCAGATGTCAGGAAAGTGGTTGCTTTGGGGAAAGAAGGGGCAGTAGTAAGTGAGTATATGTACAACAAGCACTTCCGGGTACTGAGATTGTTCAATTTCTTGAGCTTGGTAGTGGTTACATGAGTATGTTCATTTTATGGTATGTCATTTCGCTATGTGGGTTCTCTGTTTTTGAGTTTTTTTGTTTGTTTGTTTGAGATGGAGTCTTGCTCTATCGCCAAGGCTAGAATGCAGTGGCACAATCTCGGCTCACCCAGCCTCCACTTCCCAGGTTCAAGCGATTCTCCTGCCTCAGCCTCCCAAGTAGCTAGGATTACAGGCACCTGCCGCCATGCCCAGCTAATTTTTTTTTGTATTTTTAGTAGAGATGGTGTTTTACCATGCTGGCCAGGCGGGTCTCAAACTCCTGACCTCAGGTGATCCGCCTGCCTCAGCCTCCCAAAATGCTGGGATTACAGGCGTAAACCACCACACCTGGCCAGTTATGTGTTTTTGCTTAATGCTCTTTCTTTTTCGTATGTTATGCTTCACTTAAAAAAAAAAACTATTTTAAAAAAAAACTAATAAAAGGGAAAATAATAGTTTCTTCCTCAGAGAGTTAAAGGGTTAAACAAGATAATTAATACAAAATATATAACACTAGCCCTGGTACTAAATAAACAGAAGATACTATTTTCACTGTCTTTATCACCACCATCATCATGAGCTTTCATATGGTATCATATTTGCTTCTGAAGATACATTGGTAAGTTAGAAGCAGTCATTTTATAAATGACTCACCCAAGTTTGCACTATCAATGAATAGTGGAGAGAAGATTCCAACTAAGATCTTCCAACTCCTGATCCAGAATTCTAATTCATGATAATTTCCAAAAGTAAAATTGGCATTGCTTCTACATTAAAAATTATATTTCTGGCTGGGCATGGTGGCTCACGCCTGTAATCCCAGCATTCTGGGAGGCCGAGGCAGGCAGATCACTTGAGGTCAGGAATTCGAGAACAGACTGGCCAACATGGTGAAACCCCATCTCTACTAAAAATATAAAAATTAGCCAGGCATGCTGGCAGGCGCCTAGAGTCCCAGCTACTTGGGGCCAGGCATGCTGGCAGGCGCCTAAAGTCCCAGCTACTTGGGAGGTTGAGGCAGGAGAATCGCTTGAACCTGGGAGGCAGAAGTTGCAGTGAGCCAAGATTGCATCACTGCACCCCAACCTGGGTGACAGAGCGAGACTCTGTGTCAAAAACGTTAATTAAAATAAAATTTCTTCACCAAAAATATCAACTCATTAATTCAATCCTACATTGTCCAGTTCTATTTGTTTTCTATTTTCCATAGCTGCTTCTTCCAGCCTTTTAATCAAATATTTCTTTCCATAGAAGATGCAAAGGAGGCATTAACAATATATAAGAAATGATGTTTGGGCCTTACCTACACTCTTATTTATGTCATAACAAAGCTGTAACATCAGGGTTCTCCTTTTGTTAAATATGAAGACTAAAGCTTAAAAAACACATAATAATAAAACTATATTCCAGTTCTGCTGCTTCCTAGTTATATGCCTTAATCAGGCAAATTAAACACTCTTGAGACTCAATTTCACCTTGCTTTAACCCTTTAACTGGGATTTATGATGAATAAATGAATATATGACTAAATATCAAAAAGAGATAAAAAGAGACTTCAGGACAACCAAGAAATTCCAGGCCTGGCATGGTGGCTCACACCCGTAATCCCAACACTTTGAGAGGCCGAGGCGGGTGGATCACTTGAGTCCAGGAGTTTGAGACCAGCCTGGGCAACAGGGCAAAACCCCATCTCTACAAAAAATGCAAAAATTAGCCAGGCATAGTGGTGCACGCCTGTGGTCCCAGCTACTTGGGAAGCTGAGATGGGAAGATTACCTGAGCCCAGGAAGTCGAAGCTGCAGTGAGCCAAGATAGCACCACTGCACTCCAGCCTGGGCAACAGAATGAGACCGTTTCTCAAAAAGGAAAGGGGAAGAGGAGAGGGGGCAGGGGAGAAGCGAGGAGAGGGAAGGGAGGATGAAAGGGGGAGGGAGGGGGGATGGTGGGGGAGAGAGGAGGAAAAGAAGAAAGAAATTCCAAATGTGCTTTGGAATACACAAGCCTAAAACATAAATCAATCAGATATATTACCTTGCCTTCACCAAGCTTTGTAAATGCAACATGATGCCTTTCACCTTTCAAAAACATAAACAATTCAAACTAAATATCATTTAACTTTTATTGCTACAACCCATGGCACTATAAAATATAGTCATGTACTGCGTAACAATACCTAAGTCAACAACAGACCATATATCTATGATGGTTGTCCCATAAGATTATAATACTATATTTTTACTATACCTTTTCTGTTTTTAGATACACAAATACCACTGTGTTACAACTACCTGCAGTACTCAGCACAATAACATGCTGTACAGGTTTGCAGCCTAGGAGCAATAATAGCCTATACCATATACCTGAGGTGTGTACTGGCTATACCATCTAGGTTTGTGTAAGTATACTCTATGATGTTTGCATAACAACAAAATCGTCTAAGATGCATTTATCAGAATATGTCCCTGTTGTTAAGCAATGCATGATTGTATTATACACCACATTTGAAACAAGCATGTGGCAGGTAAGAAAATGAAAATTAAAAGTATTAAAAAACAAGTACAGGCCATGCATGGTGGCTCATAACTGTAATCTCAGCACTTTGCGGGGCCAAGGCAGGCAAACTGCTAGAGCTCAGGAGTTTAAGACCAACCTGGGCAACGTGGCAAAACCTTGTCACTACAAAAAAACACAAAAATCTGGCCAGGCGCGGTGGCTCACACCTGTAATCCCAGCACTTCGGAAGGCCGAGGCAGGCGGATCACAAGGTCAAAAGATGGAGACTATCCTGGCTAACACGGTGAGACCCCATCTCTACTAAAAATACAAAAAATTAGTCAGGCATGGTAGTGGGCACCTGTAGTCCCAGCTACTCGGGAGGCTGAGGCAAGAGAATGGTGTGAACCCAGGAGGTGCAACTTGCAGTGAGCCGAGATCGCACCACTGCACTCCAGCCTGTGTGACAGAGCAAGACTCTGTCTCAAAAAAAAAAAAAAAAGCCAGGCATGGCAGCATGTGCCTGTAGTCCCAGCTACTCAAGAGACTGAGATGAGAGGATTGCTTAAGCCTAGGAGGCAGAGGTTGCAGTGAGTTGAGATCACACCACTGCATTCCAGCCTGGGCAACAGAGCCAGACTCTGTCTCAAAAATAAACAAACAAACAAAAAAAACCCACAAGTATAGATTTCTGAATTTGGAGTGTCTCCTAACCTCCCGTAATCATATGCAACATTTTGTATATGTGCATTCTTTTTCCACACTGGAGGCATGAAGATTTGATAACATTTACCAGCAAGTCAGTAGGCCCAAAGAAAGGTTAAGAGTTAAAGCAATTGTTTCAATTATGGAAAAATATACAGTATTCTTGATATTTACTCACCAGAAATATCCATAAATGCACGATCCCATAATTCACCTACTGTGTAACATTCTGCAGAAGTGATGTTGACTGAAAGAACGATATCGTCTTCAACATATTTTAATATGAGATTATTTATCACAATGTTTACATTATTTACAACTCGTCTAATCAGACTCTGCACATAACCTATAAAATAGAAAAAAAGATTTTAATTAGCCACAAATCTCTCAGTAAATAATTATTTCTTAAAATGTTATTGAACTTAATGCATGAGAAAGGTGGGTATTATTTAGCATATTTCCCAAAGAGAAACTAAAGTTCAGATAGGTTAAAAGGCTTGCCAAAGTGACACAGTTAGTAAGTAGCAGATCCAGCCCAACAAATGTCATTATCAAGAAGTTCCATAGTGAAGTATTCACACACTAAGAGAAACCACAAAGACCATATATATTTTTGATAACATAATACTAGATCCCATACAATGATTATCCTATACGTCAAGTACTTTGTTTGATTTTTGCTTATTGTATTATGTAAATATTTTCCAAAATGAAACAATGTTACTAAATGCTGATTATACAGTATATTAAAAGATGGGCTTCTTTAAGCTTACGCTTCTTTTTAAATCAGCTACCATCAACTCTTCCTAGTTTAGCCATAAAAATATTTAAAAGTTATGCCTGGGATAGAGGAAACATGACCATCATAATGAATTCAACTCTATTCACTTACTAATATTTAATGTTAAAATAGAGTAGAGGGGAAAATATGAATGAAGAAAATGTAGACAGGAAGAGTTAAAGAAATATTTTTTAAATACTACCATGAAGAAGACAGAAAAATGAAAAAACAAAAGTAAGGAAGGAAGGAGAATGTATAAAAGTAGAATAAGAACACAGGGAAATAAGAAAAAGAAACAAATACTAGTTAACTCAAAACACTAAAAGTAATTAATGAACATTCTATTTCTTCATGGCTTGCTTAGATCTCCAAATTTTTTCTTTTAATTTCATGCTACTGTGGAATACTTCATAATCTCACTTACGTTTCTCACGTAGGTGTGTACATGGATACATTATTCAGTAATCTAGTTAAAAATATAAATAACACTTTATAAAAAGCATTTTAAAAGCCAGGAGAAAAAAAAATTAATCTTTTCCACTGTAAAAAGCTAACTCAAAGGTAATGCATTTCCACTATTAAAGGAAACTATTTAAAAGGTAATTAAAATTTTAGCTATTTCATGAAATAACCATATGGTTGTATTCTTTAACCCAGAATGTTACTGGACAAAACAGAATCAACTTCTGTCAGCAACTGACATTGTTAACACCTATACTAAAGACTGCTGGGAGAAAGCTTATTGAAATCTATTCAACCATAACATGTTTGCAAAACCCAACTCCTTCATTCATTCCCAACGATGCAAATAGGAAAGAAATGTAATACAACTTAGATTCGAGCTTTTCTCCTATATAGAAACTATTAGCAGCTTTTAGAGTGCCAATTATCACATGCTATAAAATTAATGTTCAAAATATTAATAGATTTAAAGTAACAATTACTATTTCATGAGTAGATGCTAAAATAATTCTTAACCAATGAGACTTCCAAAAGAAATTTTAAGTATCAACATTTTAACCTTAGAATGTACATAACCCCATGTTATTACTACTCAACGCAGAGTTTTAAAAATAAAAATAGGGCCGGGCGCGGTGGCTCACACCTGTAATCTCAGCATTTTGGGAGGCCGAGGCGGGCGGACCACGCGGTCAAAAGATGGAGACCATCCTGGCTAACATGGTGAAATCCCATCTCTACCGAAAATACAAAAAAATTAGACAGGTGTGGTGGTGGGCGCCTGTAGTCCCAGCTACTCAGGAGGCTGAGGCAGGAGGATGGCGTGAACCCAGAAGGCGGAGCCTGCAGTGAGTCGAGATCGCGCCGCTGCACTCCAGCCTGGGCGACACAGCAAGGCTCCTTCTCAAAAATAAATACGTTTCCAAGAAGTCAAGTGACCATGACTAATATTGGTTTCCCTATTTCTCAAAAACCTGTCATGAATAGCGAACTGTTTTGTTTTGTTTTTTTGAGACGGAGTCTCTCTCTCTATTGCCCAGGTTGGAGTGCAAAGGTACGATCTCGGCTCATGGCAACCTCCGCCTCCCGAGTTCAAGTGATTCTCCTTCCTCAGTCTCCTGACTAGCTAGGATTACAGGCCCGTGCCACCACGTCAGACTAATTTTTGTATTTTTTTAGTAGAGATGGGGTTTCACCATATTGGCCAGGCTGGTCTCGAACTCCTGACCTCGTGATCTGCCCACCTCAGCCTCCCAAAGTACTGGGACTGCAGACATAAGCCACCATGCCCGGCCAATAGAGTACTCTTAAAAACCACGTAAGCGTTCATGAGTTTTTATTATCTTTAAAACAGTATCAAAAATAGCACGGAAATATAATGCAAAGTAATAGAAACATAAAATATGTATTTTAACTGATAGAACACTACTGATGGATTGTTCATCTTTTTAAAAATATTTTCTGGCTGGGCATGGTGGCTCACACCTATAATCCCAGCGCTTTGGGAGGCTGAAGCAGGCAGATCGTTTGAGCTCAGGGGTTCAAGACCAGCCTGGGCAACATGGTAAAACCCCGTCTCTACAAAACTACAAAAATTAACTGGGTGTGGTGGCATGTGCCTTTAGTCCCAGTTACTCGGGAGGCTAAGGCAGCAGAATCGCTTGAGCACCAGAGGTGGAGGTTTTGGTGAGCCAAAGTTGCACCATCACACTCCAGCCTGGGTGACGGGAGTGAAACTCTGTCTCAAAATAATATATATTTTTTTCTTTCCATTTTGTATTATAAAACTGACATACAAATTGAGACGAATAAGCCAATTCACCAAAGTAAAAGAAACAAATATCGAAAGAACTACTTCTGTAGAAGACTATTTCTATTTCCTTATTAAAAATGCAATGTCAAAATAAGTAACAGAAACTTATCAGTGGAATAAATGACACACTGTCTCTATAATCCCTCAAAGTAACTTGCTTCTATGCAAGCTACAAGATAGTGTCAAGCAGATCTAATAGCTCTCATCACTCCATACTTAGAGACTCCCTGGGACTGTATTTGTTCGAATAACATAATAATCATCCAGGTCTACTCCACAAGCATCTGAAAATGGAAAGTCACACTAAGGATGAGACCTTACAAGATGTAATATTAGATGGCTCTAAAACAGCCTGCTACTTAACCTTTCTCCAGAAATTCTTATTATCTACCTCTCCCCATACCTCATATAACCCCTTCTTCCAAACATACATCTATGTCCACAGGACCAGTTGAAAACACTAAATTTTCACTAACTTTGCTCGTGTTCTTCCTCCTTTTTAGAATACTTTTTGTCCATTCACACTTCTGGTTCACGTGCAGTATAATTTTCCTCTGCCTTATATTGTCTTCTCCAATGTCCTCCATCCTATACCTCAACATTAAAGAGAAATGCCTCTATGACTTTTCTTGGGCTTATGCTACTATTAGTCATTTGCTTGTGTATATGTTTGGTTATCTTCTCTGATAAACTGTGAAATCCTAGAGAAAAAAGATTATATGTTATTTATTTCTCTGATAGTCTTAAATGGCATGTATCAAAATTTTTTGGTTATAAAGAGACACCATCTGCAATTGATTCACCTTGATGTGGTCACTGGGAAGCCAAGTTGCTCATAATCAGAAATTCCACGGTTGATGACTTGGTTACAGTACATAAAAACATCTTAGTCAAGTTTTTGGTGTAAAATTTATTTGAGCATTATGTAGCATCAGACAGGAAATTTATGCTCAAATGGTTAAAGGGAAAATAAGTTCTTTAGAATGTTCTTGTCTTTTATGAAATGCTGAAATTGTTTCAAAATAAAAAGTTTGTTAAAAGGGCAAGAATAAAAAATCTTGATTGTCAATGTTATAGACAGGCCCAATAAAATATGAATTTAAAACGTTTATCAGATTTAGTAACTAGATAATAATTGTGGGCAATTACTGTGGAAGCTAAAAAAAAAACAGATGTGAGTTGGTGATACTGTATTATTTAAGATGGTCACAGAAGTTCTAGACAATGAAATAAAGGGAAAAAAGAGAAATTAGTGTATAAGTATTGCAAAGGAGGGAAAAAAGTCATTTCACAAAGATGACTGTACTTTTTATATAGAAGCTCCAAAAGAAGAGACTAAAAAATACTGAATACTGGTCAGCTAACAAAATATAAAAGTTAGCTTTCCTATACAAAAAAAGTGATAAAAAGAAAATGGTAAAAATGGAAATCCCAATTAGCAATAAAATGTATGAGATAGCATTTTCCACCTATAAAAGTTTAAGAGATGTTTTTTAATAATGAAAAACAGCATTGGACTAAAAATGTGATTGGAATAAAGTATTGTTACAAACTTTTCACCAAGTAATTTAGCCATTTTATGCCAAAAACCTGAAAAGTGCTCGCAAATTTTGACTCTATAAATTGGAAAGGATTTTTCCTAAAGAAATAAGCAGAGGTGTACGCAAAGACTTACCTACATATGTTTGCTAAAGCATTTTACAAAACTAAAAATAACAAATAACCTAAATATCAAACAAAAAAAAAAGGACTGGTTGAATAAACTGTAGAAGAGTTACACAACAGGATTGTATGCCACTGACCGAAATAACAATGTAAAAAATACGAATGGCCTGGAAACATGTTTTTGGCATAACATTAAATGAAAAATTTAGGCTACAAAAAATTGTGTGTGTGTGCATATGTGTGAATGTGTGTGTATAAAGGAAGAAAAGACTCTCTAAAAGGTTGTACACCACGTTAACCAATTTCAGTTCTGGGTAAGATAAAGTAAGCACTCTACCCTGTCTTTCCCAGTGACTGCAGCCATAAAACCTGGAAAGAATGTGTGAAGCAGCTACTTCAGGGCTCTGAAAAAGTAAATAGTAGGCATGAGATGGGAAACAGAAACAAAAAACAGAGTGACCAAAGAAAAACAACAAATGAAATGGCAAGTGTAAATTCAAACACATCAATAATTATATTCTAATTTAATCACACTGTGGTCAGAGAGAATGATACATGATACTGATGCTTTGAAATTTCTCAAGACTTCCTTTTCAACCAAGTCTTTGTTAATATCTGTAGATACTCA